ACTGTACTCCAACCTGGGTAACAGAGCGAGACTCCATCTCAAAAAAAAAAAAAAAAAAAAGGAAAGAAAAAGGAAAAGCACAGTATCTACCCCTTAGAACCACTCATGGAAGCCAGTCTTTGCATCAACCTGGGTAACAGAGCGAGACTCTATCTCAAAAAAAAAAAAAAAAAAAGGAAAGAAAAAGGAAAAGCACAGTATCTACCCCTTAGAACCACTCATGGAAGCCAGTCTTTGCATCAAGGAATCCCCAGATCCCTGGTCTGGGTGGAGATACACACCTCACCCTCAAGGAGCTGAGATTTGAAGAGAAAACGCAGTCTTTGTCTTTGAGGCCCTCAGTCTGATGGAGGAGATATGCGTCTTACCTTTAGGAAGCTTCCCAAACTGATGATGGAGACACAGTCTTTGCCCTCAGGTGTCCCAAGTCTAAGGAAAAAAATAGATTTGCCCTTGAGGAGCCCCTGTTTGATGGGGAGCATTTCCCTAGAAGGTTGCCCTGTAACTGGGATGTGGCTTGAGTGACAAGCAGCAGGAAAGCTGGCACTGCAGGACACTCCTGGTGCCCTTCAAAGGTCAAAAAAGTCCTTGGTTTCAGTCCAGCCCCAGTTGTGCCACAGCGTTACTGCATGACTGTGGGCAAGTCACGAATCTTCTTCAGACTATGATTTCTTTTCTTTTTTTTTTTTCTTTTTCTTTTTTTTTTTGAGACAGAGTCTCCCTCTGTGCCCCAGGCTGGAGTGCAGTGGTGCAATCTCGGCTCACTGCAAGCTCCGACTCACGGGTTCACGCCATTCTCCTGCCTCAGCCTCCTGAGTAGCTGGGACTATAGGCGCCTGCCACCACGCCCGGCCAATTTTTTGTATTTTTAATAGAGACGGGGTTTCACTGTGGTCTCGATCTCCTGACCTTGTGATCTGCCCACCTCGGCCTCCCAAAGTGCTGGGATTACAGGCGGGAGCCACCGCGCCCGGCCCAGACTATGATTTCTTCACCTACAAAATGGAGATGTTAGCCCCATCTCTCAAAATGACATGAGGATTGTCAAGTTACTAGAAAGAAAAGAAGCCAGGCTAGCCAGTCAGCCAGCCTGCACGCACTACAGAAAAGATTAACATGGTTTTTCTTGTAACAGAGGTCATGGATCAGTCCCAGTGGCCTCTGGGAAGGGTGGGGAGCCCCTCAGGTGTGGTGGCTGGATAATTCCAGGCCTGAATTAGAGAACCCGGGGCTGTGGGTAGCACTGGGGGGCCAGAGGAGTGCCCTCTAACCTAATCACTCTTCCCACCGAGATTCTCATTCCAGCCAGACCTGCCAGGGGTTTTATTGGGTTTGTGGGGACCCGCAGATTTCAATCTCCAGACCCCACAGGGAAGGAACAAGCATTAAACTAATTTTATTAAACGGCCACAGCTGGCAGTGGGGGAAGTAGGGAAGAGAAGGGAGGATAAAGAAAGTCATTCAAGTCTGCCAGCAATGACAAGGGTCTATACATGAGGCCTGGCCAGGAGGGAGGCCACCCCTCCTTCCTGTCTCTCCAGCTGAGCTAGACTGGGGAGGGGAGGCCAGATGGGACCTTTCCTCAATGAAGAGCTTTGGGATTCTCCAAGAGTCTCACCCCATGGCTGCTGTCCAGGGCAGATGCTTGTAAATACATCAGGCCTCTGCAGGGCAGGGGTGGGAGTGGAAGGGCTGGGCTCAGGCTGCCCTGATGCCATCCTCAGATCTGCTTTGGAGATCCCAACTCTATGAAATATGGTGTGCCAGGTAAGAGCATGGTCTTTGGTTCAAATACTGGCATGTGCCTGTTTTTAGCTCTGTGATCTTGGCAAGTTGTTTAACCTCTCTGAGCCTCAGTTTCCTCATCTAAAATGGATAAAATAACAGCATAATTTTAAAGGGCATGAGATAATTTCCTGTAGATCTACTGCCTACCCCCGCACACATATCCATGAGATAATATTTATAAAGTTCTTACATAGTACCTGACATATAGCGGGTACTCTCTCAATATTAGCTGTTGTTATCTAGAAATGCCCTGTGTGACATGGCCCCTAGTTGCAGGAAGTGAGGATGGCAGTGGTGGGGTAAGGGGACTTGGTATGTCTTGGATTTTCTTTCTTTTTCTTTTTGAGATGGAGTCTTGCTCTGCCGCCTAGTGCAATGGCGCGATCTCAGCTCACTACAACCTCCGCCTCCAGAATTCCAGCGATTCTGCCTCAGCCTCCCAATCCCAGTAGCAGGGATTACAGGCGCCTGCCACCACGCCTAACTAATTTTTGTATTTTCAGTAGAGACAGGTTTTCACCATGTTGGCCAGGCTAGTCTCAAACTCCTGACCTCGGTGATCCTCCCACCTCGGCTTCCCAAAGTGCTGGGATTACAAGCATGAGCCACCGAGATCGCATACTTGAAAGCATTTTGCAACAGTTACAGATAAATAATAAAAGCTATGTTTATTGAGCACTTAACAATATACCTCACTAATCCTCAATCAAGTGAGGTAGGTCTCCTTACCTACGTTTATTGATGAGGAAACCAAAGCACAGAGGTCAAGTGCGTAGACCTAGGTCAACCAGCCTTTAGTCCAAAGGATGTTCCTTTCTATGGCTGTCATTAATCCTAAATTGAATTGAGAGGAGTGACTTGCCCAGGATCATACATGGTGGCCCAGGGCTGGACCTAGGTCTCCCAGTTTAAAGATCACCTGTGCCTGTGGAATGCTGATGCCACTTTCAGCGAGGCTCACACCTGTAATCCCAGCACTCTGGGAGGCTGAGGCAGGTGGATCACGAGGTCAGGAGGTTGAGACCAGCCTGGTCAACATGGTGAAACCCCATCTCTACTAAAAATACAAAAATTAGCTGGGCGTGGTGGTGCACGCCTGTATTCCTAGCTACTCAGGAGGCTGAGGCAGGAGAATCACTTGAACCTGGGAGGTGGAGGTTGCAGTGAGCCGAGTTCTTGCCACTGCACTCCAGCCTGGGGACACAGGGAGACTCCTCGGTCTCAAAAAAAAAAAAAAAAAGGAATTTGTCCACCATGGAAGATGATGAAGTAACTGGGCTGCTTCCCATCCCAGCTTTCCAGGCCGACTTGGGCTGTGGGGGGCATTGGACCCTTTGGCAACTTCCTCCTGGAGCAGCTCAAGTTCTGGCACCTGGTTTCCCCTAGAAACTTCCACCAGACCCCTTCCTAATCTGGAGGAGGGCACGGTCCGCGGTTCCCTCCCTCAACCCTCCCCAGGGCACAGACTGAAACCCCCGCGGGGTGACAATGTTTTTATTATAGCTTTGGTCAGACGGGGCACAGCCGGGCAGGGGCTCTGAGGGTGCTGGGAAGCAATCCAGTCCCCAACTCCCCCTTTCCCTGGGCGCGCCACCCCGGAGGGAGCCAAGGGCAGCTCATCTCAGAGCGCAGGAAGCAACCCCGCCGCCGCGACCTCTCCCCAGGCTGGGGTGGGCTGGCAGGCGGAGGTGGGCAGTAAACAGTCCTATTGTACAAATATATAGCGTGGGCCGGGCGGGGGCGGTCAACCCCGGCTCCCGGGCACGGGGACAGGGCGCGCTGGGCCCGGCTCTGCAGCGAGCCGGCGGGAGGGCCTAGCCGTGGCCCAGGCGGTGGTGAGCACGGGCCGGGGGCGTCATAGCCGGGGAGGGCCGGGCGGCGAGCGGGTGGGCAGGGGCGAGTCATCGTCTGCCCCGCCCGGAGGGGATCCCGCGGGGGTGAGGGACGTGGGTGGAGGGACACGGGGAGCTCAGTCGGAGTAGATGATGAAGCCAGAGAACGTGCTGTATTTGTTGCTGTTGCCGCCGTGTGCTTTGCCTCCATCGAGCTTGATGAAGACCTCGTCGCCGGCGTCCAGGTGCAGGATCACGCTGTTGCTGGCGTAGTCATAGTTCTGATCCGCGTCCTGGGCAATAGCACTGGCCCGCACCTGCGGGTAGGGGACACGGGAGGGAGGGCGAGAGAGGAGGGAGGATGAGAAGAGAGGGAGGTGAGGCAGTCCCGGGGAGGATCAGCAGACCCTGAAACCTGGCCTGCAGCCTCGCCTCATCCCACCCGGCCCCCTCCCAATCGTACAGAACTTGTTTCAGGAGAGGGGCGGAGACGAGCCCTGGATTTCTAGGGCAGGTCTGATCTGGGCCTGAATTGGGAGTCAAGGCAGAGTCTTCCTCCTTCACTCCTATAGGGCTTTCCATCCAGCTGGCCCAGAACCTCAATACCTCCAGGAAGCCTGGAAGCCGCTCCTTGCAAAGAGGAATTCTCTGGACCTCCAGGGGACGGAGGGCCTTCCCTTCTCTCATCATTCCTTCCTCTCTGCTTTCATAATGATGCCATCGTTTCAGCCACACCCGCTGGATCGTATGTCAGTGGATGGACACAAGGGCACACCTTGGCCCCACAGGTCAGGCAGCTGGATCAATGCCAGACTGCCAGTCAGCAACCATCCTGGAACCAGGGCCAGGTCTTTGGTCTGAAATGCATTCCAGAGTCTCCCCTGCTGCAGCAGTGAGACAGAAGGCCTGGTAATGCTTTCCCCTCCCAGGGCTTAGAAGGAGTATGGGTGCCAGTCTCCATGGAGCTATAGCTATACACCTGTCACTATCCACCCAAAGAGGACTTGTAGCTCCTCCTATCTCACCTCAGGGTGGTAGAAAGGAACTGGGTGGGAAGAAGGGAATCCAGGCCCTACTTCCCTCTGGGATTTTTGGTCTGAAGTGACATCCTTGCTGGTCCCTGCCTTGATGGGGGATGGGGAGGGACAGGCAGGATAATGGGTCAAGGGAGCACCAGCATTTGGGTTTGGAGCCTGCTGTCACTTTTGGAGGCTCTGACTATAATCATAAGAGATTGTGTGTGGCTGGGCACGGTGGCTCACGCATGTAATCCCAGCACTTCGGAAGGCCCAGGTTGGTGGAAAATTTGTGGTCAGGAATTCGAGACCAGACTGGCCAACACGGTGAGACCCCCATCTCTACTAAAAATGCAAAAATTAGCTAGGTGTAGTGGCGCATGCCTGTAATCCTAGTTCCTGGGGAGGCCGAGGCAGAATCACTTAAACCTGGAAGATGGAGGCTGCAGTGAGCCAAGATCACGCCACTGCACTCCAGCCTGGGCGACACAGTGAGACTCAGTTTCAAAAAAAAAAGAGAGAGAGAGATTGTGTGGTGGTGAACAAATGATCTACAGACATTCCTCTAACAGGGATGGAAACATAAGTCCTGAGTTCGAGGATCGGGGCCTCTCCAGTGTATCCTGGGTAGAGACCTGGAAGAGAAGCGCCCTCTCCAGGACTGTGGCTTGTGGTGTGGGGAGGCTGCACTGAGTGGAGTTCTCTCAGGTTTCTCCACGGCCCCTCTCTATCCTGTCCCTTCACGGAAGGCAGCTCACCATCCCACCCTCCAGGGCTGAAATCTGGGTAGAACCAAGCCAAATTAGGGGAGGGGCCCATCCTCTCTCCTGGACTGGAGGCAGCACTGCAGGTCAGCTGTGCCAGAGCTGCTGACTCAGCCGCGATGCTGCAATGAAAAGGACCGGACATATTTGCATGAGGGCCTCCCTTTAAAGCCCATCTCCAACCCCTTCTTCTCCTTCAACCTCTTCTTTCCAACCAGAGAAGAAACTCTTTGTGCGCTTAGCTGGGAAAACTGGTCTAGTTAAAGGTGGGAGGGAATAAATGAGAGGGGAGACGCTGTCTGCCAAGGAGCTCAGTTTCTGTGTCTAGAAAATGGATGAGAAGGCTTTGCCTCACCACTGCCACCTCTGTAAAAGTCTTTTGATGATGAAGAAAAAAAACATTTAGATCTTGATGGGGCTTTGAGTTATTAGGGAAGAGCTGAAAGCAAACAGCCAACTTCTGTATTGTTCCCTGAGCCCTAATCCTGGTAGTATTTATTATTACACACGCATTTCATTATCTTTGCTAATAAATTACTACTAATAACAATTATTTTTATTGCCCAGATTAATTTAGCCTTAATTCATTAAAACAGTGTGCTCCTTAATAGCCAAATCCATTGGAACAGAGTCATCTGTCATCAGGAATCTCCTGGTGATGTGACTGTATCAGAACTGTTATGCTTATGTTTATTATTTATTCATCACCATGATTGTTGCCGTAATTATCCTAATTATCCATGGAGGCAGAGAGAATTTATGCCCTTCCATCCTTAGATGGTGGGGCATCCAGGGTTGGAACCCAGGGGTCCCAATTCTCTGCCTGACTGGAGACAGTTGAGGTCTGCAGCTCCTCCTGGGGTCCAAGGGGAAGTGTGGGTAAACGAGGTTGCCAAGGAAGCAAGAAAGCAGGTTTGGGCCTTGTTATGAGGGAGCGCTGCAGAATCAGTTCCTCAAGGGCTGCCAGGAGGGGAAACTGAGGCAATGGTCTGACCAAGGGAACTGGGTGAGAGGGTATCCAGGAAACATGTTCCTGCCCTCAGATCAATGCTGGGGTCTTGGGTGTGCGGATGTGGCTCCCATAGGGGAGCCAGCGTAGCCCATGGGGGACGCTTGCATTTTCACATATTTACTGCATTCCTGCTGTGCCAGGCATTGTGCTCTGTGTTGTGAAAGGTATAGGGGCCAGAGAGGATAGTCAGGGGACCATCTGCCACCACCAGGGGAGAGGCTGATCTCCTTAGGTCTTGTTCCTTTTTGAGACAGAGTCTCGGTCTGTCACCTAGGATGGAGTGCAGAGGTGCAATCTCAGCTCACTGCAACTTCCGCTTCCCAGATTCAAGTGATTCTCCTACCTCAGCCTTCCAAATAGCTGGAATTACAGGCATCCACCACCACACCCAGCCTTTTTTTTTTTTTTTTTCTTTTTTTTTTGTATTTTTAGTAGAGACAGGGTTTCACCATGTTGGACAGGCTGGTCTCGAACTCCTGACCTCTGGTGATCCGCCCGCCTCGGCCTCCCAAAGTGCTGGGATTACAAGAGTGAGCCACCGTGCCGGCCTTCTTAGGTCTTTATGCCGCCACCTTGAATTTATATATGCCAGCACCTCTCGCTGCAGTCAGAGTCTGTTGTCAAACCCCTTGCCCATTGGTGATACTCACCTCCCCACAGCCTGCTACCCTGGATAAGCAGCACCCTGACCACAGGCCCTGGCACATCCTCACAAAGCCCCCTGCCCAGTTTATTAATTTTGTGTCCTCTCCAACCCACCTGAACTGTGGATCTTGGAGGCAGCTGCAGGCAACTCACCACACCCAGCGCCCCACTGCCAACCCAGAGTCCTTTCCCCAGGCTCCTCGCATCCTAATGGTCAGGACTTGGTGCCATCAGGGGTGTTGATGCAAGGCTACCCCTAAGGACAGGGGCCAGTGGGCCTCAGATAAGGACAGAGGGAGCCTCAGTGCCAGGCATGAAGGTGGCACTCCCTATCCCGAACTTGCCCAGAGAAGAGGCAGAGCCCAGATTCAGCTCTGCCTCCCTAAAGAAATTCTGGAAGCCTCTCTACAGGCAGGAAGCCAGGAAGAAAAAGTGCAGTGCTCAGGATGGCCCCGGGTTCTGAAGTCACGGGGGATACAAGCTTCTCTCTTTTGTTCGCATCCATTGCCTGGTCCTGCCATTTTTTTTCTCTGCTTATTTAAATGTCCTCGTCCACCTCTGAGCTGGCTTTCTCCTACACTTGACCTTTTATTTTCTCCCTAGTGGTATCTCCTCACCTTGGGGACCAAGGTTCACCATCTTCTTCCCTGCATCAGGTTGGTCTGCACCAGGGTAGGCCCTACTGAAGCACTCCCTCCCAGCCAACATATTTGGGGACCGAAGTCATCAATTGGGCTCGCAGCCCACCTTTAACACAGTACTCGTTGGGGTGTGTGATTGTACGTTACGAATGTTCCCCCTGCATAGGCCATGAGGTCTTGGAGGGCAAGTGGACTGAACTCCTACAAAGCCTCAAACCTGGCTCCTAGTAGGGGCTCAAAACTAACAAGTGGGATGACTAGTGAGATCAAATGAGTCTCTTGGGCAATTTGGAAGAAGTCATAAAGGACATGGGAGAGGGGGCTATAGACCCCACTATTTCTCCTGGTTTTCTTTCTTTCTTTTTTTTTTGAGACAGTCTCACTCTGTTGCCCAGGCTAGAGTACAGTGGTGAGATCTCACCTCATTGCAACCTCCACCTCCTGGGTTCAAGTGATTCTCTTGCCTCAGCCTCCTGAGTAACTGGGATTACAGGCATGCACCATCACACCCAGCTAATTTTTGTATTTTTAATAGAGGTGGTGTTTCGCCGTGTTGGCCAGGCTGATCTCAAACCCCTGACCTCAGCTGATCCACCTGCTTTCGCTTCCCAAAGTGCTGGGATTAGAGACGTGAGCCACTGCGCCCAGCCTCTCCTGGTTTTCTTTTGAGGGGGCTGGTTTGAGTAACTATTAAGTGCTAGGCCTTTGAAACCCCTAGTTAAAGTCACCTCCTTTTTTCCTATTAGCCTGTGGTCTCATCTCCAGTGAGCACCCCTTCATCAGACTCTGTCAACACCCTGCCCCTGATGGAAGGAAAAGGAGCTTTTGAGATGGTTTTACCTCCCAGTGACTGACACAAGTTCCCCACTCTAAGCACACAGCATCTCTGGGGACCTGTGGGGACTTCCTGAGGTGGTGCAGGGTCTAGGGCCAACCTGTGGCCTGATGACTGCCTCCCTATCCAGGCAAGCTGTCAATCCACTGAAACCTCAGCTCTGTGTCAGCCCAAACTTCTTTGGGAAAGGAAGACATTCCATTGATGAAGGTGACATTGCTGCATCCCTTATTGGTGATTAATAGGGGGAATCATGGGGCTGTCTGCAGAATGAGCCTTTGCTGGATACTGGGGCCTCCCATTTGGTCAGGAACCAAGGACAAAGGGGAGAGACACAGGGATGTCTGATGGACACACGTGGGAGAGAGAGACATACAAGGAATAGAGAAGAGTGGGGTTAGACCCAGGGAGGAGAGGCCAGAAACCCAGGGAGAGACGGAAAAGGCAGACACAGGAGAGAGATGGATAAGAAACAGAAAAATAGAAGAAAGAGGCAGGGGAGAGGCAGAAACCAGAGAAAAGGTGTTGGGTGGGGGGGCAGCAGCCAGGCAGAAGAAAGAGAAGAGGGGCTGATTTACAAGAACCTGGCTGGCTATCTGCTCACTTTCCCTGCTTGCTCCTGTCCCTGCCCCCAAGACTTGCAGACCCGCAGGCTGGCAGAGCTTCAGGGCAGTGCTGCCGTGGGAAGGGTTCCAACAAAGTCTTGCATCTCAATCCTGGGAGATTCCTCCTCAACTTCCACTAGCTCAGTTTTAGTTCTGACCAGCGGTCCCCTTCTTCCAAGAGAATGCTCGGCCTGACCACACCCCCAGGCCGCAGGCCACCATGAGTGGGAGCACTGGGAAGGGAGATGGTATCAAGATAGCTGGCTAAAATTGTCACCCCGGGGCGGGGCTGGGTGGAGGTTGGTCCTGGGGTCGGCCATTCCAAGGAGAGCTACAGGCACATGCGAGTCCCGGTACCAGAGTCCCCGACACACTCAGCGCTTTCCAGCTCCAGCGTCTGAGGTGGGGACAGAGAATGGAGAAGATCCCACATACCCCAGAGTCAGGAGGAGCTGGAGCGGGAGACCAAGAGGAGGGGGAGTTTCCATTTCCTCCCCCGCCTCAAGAGGAAAAACTACCCCTCCCCCTCAGACTGCCTTCTTGTTGGGGCAGCTCTGCTACAGTGGGAAAGAGCTCCCAACTCCCGGATTTTGCAAAGGGTGTCAGATCCGCCCAATGGTCCCTTCTCGAGAGCAGGGGACGCACTGCAGCCAGGGCTCTAAGCACCGGGCTCCCTTTGCCTTTGTGCCCCAAACATTTCCTGCAGCCACCTTTCTCCGTGTGCGCCCATGGCCATGCGCCTAGGCGCCCGCGGGCGCGGATGCCGCTTCTCCCTATTCCATGCGCCAGAGCTCATCCTTGCCCTCCCCTTATCGCCCGCTGGTGTCGGCCCTAATCCACTTCCCAAGGGGCAAGCCCCCAAGGGCAAGTCTGTGCACCTGTGAGCCCTGCGCTCTGACTAGTTGGGTTCGTTTCCCGCATTTCCAGCAGCGTTCCAGACGGTGCCCAGCAGCGTCTGTCTTGGAGCGGGAGCCCAGGAACTGAGGATTGGAGATGTCCGCTGGCTCCGACCATCCCCACACGTGATGCCCAAGCAGGGCAGTAGGGTGGGGTCTCCACCTGTGTCCGCCTGGTGCCCTCGCCAACTCCGATCAGGTACCCATTTGCCCCGGGCTCCCTGGGTGCCCTGCCCCCAGGCCAGCCCCATGCCCCCGCCTGGCCCACCTGGCCATTCTTGCAGAGGTCTGCCCACATACTGGTGCCGTCGCCGCCGCGCATGAGGACATGGTAGGTGAAAAAGTAGGTGCCGGGAATGTTGCACGTAAACTTGCCGCTGGCCGCGTCGTAGTTGTTGCCTAGGTTGGTGACCACGTCGTCAAACTTGAGCACCTCGTAACCCTCGTGGGGGTTCTTGAGGCCGGCGTAGAAGGCCACGCGCGGCACCGTGGTGTAGGTGGCCGTGCTGATGGC